AATCTGGAGTAAACCCACCTGCATTTAGGAAGGACAGTGTATGGGTTGGCTCATACCAAATGAACACTGACACACTGACCTGTAGTTGCATCAAAGGAATTTTTGGTACAGTGTGCAGTAATGTGTTAAGAGAGTACCAAGTCAAACAGTTGGTACCAAGATCATTTTTCCTAGAGTGAATTCAACTAAGTCCTCAGCAGGCACCATACAAATGTCTAAAATACCTAGAATGAATCGTTCTGGATCTTATCTGTGCCAGGGAACCAGGACTAGCTTTGGTGGTGTCAGCGTGGGTGCAGAGGTGTAAAATGGGTGTGAAAGAAGATCAACCAAATTACTTCAAGAACTGAAGGACAGGCTCTAAGATACACACATGCTCAAAGGCTTTGCAGATTTGCATCTCCAAATAGCTTTTTTCCATTTCTAGGAGCAAGCAGCAGAACAGCTGAGTGCTACAGAAACAGCTGGCCTTCAGTGATAAGGGTGAGCTGTCACTTCGTGGTGAAGTTTGAAAAACTGTATATTTAGAAGGAGAAGGAAGGGCCATCAGCAGCCGCACCCCAAAACCTGGCCTGTTTGCGGGTTCTTCACTGCCTGCACTTGGTGATTGGAATGGCAGTATTTACATTTTCAAGCATTACAATGCTTTTCTGCTCCAAAGTCCATCTTGTGGTGTGACTTAGCATGTGAGATCAGTGACATCAGAACTGCTGACTGCCCTGACCTGTGGTGAGGGCAGAGCTTTCAAGTTGGGGATCCATAATTCAAGCAACTTTATTCACTATTCCCCATGTATGGCGTTCAATTTAGAAATAATGAGGGCTTCCATGCTTTTCAGTTTGGGCTCGTTGCAGCCACTGCGTGTTTCTATCTTCCATCTTTTTAAATACCTTACTGTGTGTTACCCTATGTCCTTCACTGTGCCTTGGGGTCCACCCTCTGTTTCCTTGGGTGTTGCAAGGCTTGGATAATTAGCAAAGAGTTAGTTGTCTTCCTGCACAGGAGGGGCTCTGCACACAGCTGGCACTGATGACTTTCAGTTCCCTGTCTCAGCTTCTTAAATCCCATTTAATTTCTTATCTTGCCTGGGATCCAGATCATTAACTCTTGTTTCCAAGATACAGAAAACAAAACACCTGAAAGTTGAACAGAAAGACGTTTCAGAAGTAAGTTTTGGGAGTGCTCAAGCCCAGTTTGAGACACTGTGTCTACTCTGTCAAAGCAGGGCCAAAGACCATTCTCCATTCCTGATCTCAAATGGCAGATGTCACTGCAGCCACTTGGCTCTGTGTCTCTGGGCTGCTCCTGGTGCACATGTGGCTTTTAGTCATCCCTTTATGTTTTGTGTGGTTTGCTCTTAGGTTTGGGTGGATTTTTAAGCTCAAAGTGCCTGAAGATGTGTGGTAGGCTGTCAGAGAGCTGCTTTCAGAGCTTAAAGCTGAGGCAATGTGACATGAAAGTATGTGGAGTATTAGGAGCAATGAGTTGCTACTACAATGTTGAGGGACTGTGTATTGCAGAGGAGTCAAGTCTATGCAGTATCACCCAAAATGCCTTCTGGATTGGTCATTGACCTGTCATACTCCTAGAACTGTACCCAACTGTAGGCTTGGAGAGAAGCTTGGTCCAAGGGTCATGACAATGGTATACATACTGCAGCATCCTGTGGACCTGAATGACTCCCCTGCACTTGGGTTAGTGGGCTCTACATGATCTCGCTAGCCTAGCTTGCTGCCTGCTCTTCTTTTTGAATCAGTTTGAATCAGTGGCTTTCCCGAACCAATTGTGTTTCTCCTGGTTTTGTTTGGGATTTAGTGAGGGTTTATAAAATGCTATGGAATAGAGCTGCTTGAAGTCAAATCTGAAAAAAAAAATAGTGCTTCAAACTGAGTGCCAGTTGCTTGTAACATTCATTTCTTGTTAATGGCTGTATTATAAAAGACAACATTTGTGTCTTAGTGTCCTTGAGAGTTTGGCTGCAAGGACCTCGAATGCCTGTCTTCGCCAGCACTCCCCAACCAGTGAGACATGCAGTACCCTGCCGCCAGGCCCTGCAGCCATTTCTGTGATCAGGCATGAAATTACTCTTAACTGATTGAAGCGAGGCGTACACTGAAAAGCTTGAGAGACACTGATTTGCTCCATCATCCTGCTCCGCCTCAACTCTGTTTCACCTAAACCATGCCTGGCAGTTTTGGATAGCATCGTCCTACAAAACCATCATGCTCAGAGCACATTTCAGAAAGTAATAGTATCACTGCTGTCATTTCAAAAAGACAAAAAAGAAGCAAGACAAAAGCAAAACAACTGGCCAGTGTCACTCAGCAAAGACAGGGCGAGAGCTGGAAGGATGTCTGGGTGTTCCAGTCCCCAGTCCAGCATGTTCAGCGTTATGATACACGGCAGAGGAAGGATTTGTTATATGATTCCAGATCCGAGTCTCAGACATGTCTTACTATGTTCCTTTGGCGTAGGAAAGGGGCCTTGTGTACATTTGTATTACATTAAGCTTCCAAAAAATATGTAGACCAGTGCAGTGCAAAGAGGCTTTGAAGAAACCACGAGTCAGACCCACTTTGTGTTAAAGTGCTGGAGGGGCGGCAGGCATGGGCATCTGCCTGAGGTCATTGTTTGAACAAGTTGATAAATGAAACATTTGTCCTTTATCCAATAAAATTTGCAGTCGGGCATTCTTGTTAGGTAGCTTTGATATAAGCACATCACATACCAGTAAAAGAATATTCTGTCTCGCTATATGTGTATGACCACTGTTGCAGCGTAGGACAGAGAGATACAGAGCAGGGTTGCGCATACATGCTAGCAAATGGAGCCAAAACCAGTCTGCTCCTGGCAAACAGAATGTCCGCCTTAAGAAGACAGGGAGGCAGCTCCAGACTGTGAATAAAACAGCAGTGACACAGTCTCAATGGCATCTGTCTTCTGAACATAAAAAAACCCCAACATTTTCTTACCCAAGGTAGCTGCTTCTGTGTATCTGTGAATCATGTCTGCTGAGTTTATAGGAAGAAGCTCCAACAAATTTGTGTTGCTCTTTGGTCTGAAAATCCATATAGATGTGGAAGAATGAGTTCATGTGTCCTGTAGAGACCAACAAAGTAGTTACCAGCCATTAGTTTGTAGAACATTTATTACAGATGAAGAGCCAAGAAAGAAAATGTTCTCACCTGTGTGCTTGGACATCCAGAGTCAACTGAGACATGAGCTGGGTAAATCACATTTTGAGATGAGAAGGAAATTAGAATTTCCTTCTAATTTCTAGAAGGAAATTAGACCTTAGACATCTAAGGAAATTAGATGTCTTTTCATACAGGCATTCTCCAGGAGCCAAGCTATGTGCATATGCATGTGGGAGAACAGATGTTTGTTTATCAAAGAACGAGTATCTGTAACACATTTATAGGTCGGCAGTAAGTATGTAAGCAAATTGCTGAGTTCTGTTCCCAGTATGGAAAAATTAATGTGGCTGATGCAAATCTACTACTAGCCATAAGATTCTGTCACTTACTTGTTTTAGCCACGATGGATCCAAGTGAATCTGTGATGGTAAGATCATAGGTGCATCCCATATTGTACAGTGACAATACCACTCCGTTTCCGCAGCATGTCCTACTTACGCGTTTTAGACTGTTTAGTCAAGATTTGCCAGTTCAGGCCATTAATAGATAGTAGGTAAATAAAATGCTGTTCAGCTGAATGAGGGAGGAATCAGTATTGATCCTGAACCTCATACTGCTAGGATAGTTGGGCTGGTATTTTCATGGTAGAGATAAGAGAGCTTATACATCAATACACACGTTCAAGAGAAGATCAAAGCAGCCCAGGTGGTAAATAACCTGGACAATTGCCTGTAAGACCTAAAATTAGAGATCAGCACAAAGACTTGGCAGGTAAATAGTCAGCAGATGCTGTCTTATCTCTGTATTTGCTTTGAAAGATTGGGTCTGACCCAAAACACGTTGAAGTCAATTTGTATCTTCTCCTCTATTTCAGTAGGCTATGCACCAGACTCTAATCTGTTGTGGGCCTAATTAAAAGATTTTCCTCATTGCAAGCTAATTACTCCTATGGAGAAATGAAACTGAATGTTAAATGAGTACTTGATAGGAGCTGTATTTCTAACATATAGTTTAGAATAAAAAGTCTTGGACTTGATTTCACACTGTCTTCTATAGTGTCTTATTCCACATAAAGCAAGTACAATTTCCCACTCTATTTTATTGGTACAAGTGTGAAGAGTTGGGCAGAATGGCTGTAACAAGAGCCCTTCCTTACGTAAAGTAAAAGCTAGTGCAAACAGGAAAGCATCAGCTTTCAGCATCCACAAGAGGAAGAAGCAGTGCACCTAAATGGCAGCAAGGAGGTGGGATATCAGCAAAATGTTCTGACAGTGAGGACAGTGAGGCACTGGGCTGGGTTACTTGGGGAGCCTTTGGCATCTCCAGCATGAGGAGCCTGTGAGAGGTTTGGCTCCAGCCTCAGGCAGGGGATGAACACCCAGAGACAAATACAAGGTACAGGACAAAGACGAATTCAGTGCCGTCACCTTGTGATGACAGGCCATTTGCTGTTCTTGAACAAATGGCAAAGCAAGTAACATGAAAATGTGAAATGTGCAGTAAATAATTAGATAATGGGAAATCAATCATGGTAATGAGTATATAAGTGTTGGCAGACTCTATCACTGTGCGGATGGAATTGATTTAGTGAGTACTTTTTTCAGGGATTTCAGTAGGAGGTTGCATAGGTCTGGCCAACAATGATTGTATGTGAGGCTTCCCTGTAACGCCTCCAAGCTAAACCTTCAAGGGTTTTGGTGCTTTGTTGAGGCACTAGATTTCAGCAAAGATCTTTGCTCAACAACCCCAAAACACTTCTGTGATGGCACGGAGGAGAGAAGGAATGGCCCCCAAAAGGCACAATCTGCTGAAAGCAACCTTGTATGCAAAACCCGATATTGCTTAGCATGCTTTGTTGGGAACCAGATGTACGATGCTGTAGCATAGAGTGATTAGGACCCAGACTTTTGAGACCCACACAGCACACTGTTTGCTGAATGTTGTGTTGGCAAAAAGCTAAAATTACAAAGGGCAGTCTTCAGGCAGAGCTTTACCATGCAAGTGTCATTTGGGGTGCCACATCCTTTGTGTTGATGCACCAGTTTTAGCACTGGGAGAAAATTTCAGTAACAAGGTGCAAGTAACTGGGGGGCAGGATGGAGAATTGAACTTACGTGGTTTATTTGTTTTCCTTCCAGCTTTCCCCAGGTCTGTTTGTTTGCCTTGTGCTTGGCTCTGTGTCTCTGATCCCGTCTGTCCTGGTTTTGTTCTCCTTCCTTTGTTGCTGATGGTTTCATGCTGTTTCCATTCCTCTCCTTTCGTATGACACAGATTCTCTGCCTGAGCCATGTCCAAGGTGTTGGACTCCCTGCAGTTACAGCACAGAGACTCGATGCTGAGGACATGACTTCCTGCTTCGCTGGCAGTGTCTGCATTGTGTAAGTGAGCGCATGTTTTACCAGCCTACAGAAAAGAAATTTCAGGGCATTAATGGATTCACCTTTTTCTAACTTGTCAGGACACTGGGAACTCTTCATTTCTTTTTCGCTGTTGCTGGTCTCTTGGTATTTACAAGAGACCAAGGTTGCACTAGTCTGGATGATCTACACACAGTGAGAAAGAGCTTTTTTTACAGTCAACACGGAGAAAACAGACAAAGGTATGAGAAAGTTGTTACGAATAAATCTTCCCTATGCAGAGGGAAGTAGAAACACGGAGAAATTCGTGGATCTCATTGCTAGAGATAATGATATACCTGTAGTAAGTTGGATAACTCGAGTCTAGTTCAGAGCTTTCACCACAAAATGTTCCTCATTCTCTTTACTGCGACCAGTGTAGCACAGGGATGGATTTTCACTTTTGCCTCCCATTTGGATGTGCTAAGGATGGTGGAAGGTGGACCTCTATCAAACAACTACCACAAGAGCACTAGGAGAGGGCATTACACCACTCACTCACGTAGGAAAGTCTAAATCAGGCCAAGTCATTCTGTCACCTCTCTGCTTTGAATGAAATTATGAGGGTTGTTTAAGTGTTATGTATATTGGCAGTTATCCCAGGGGGTGAGGAGATTAGTAGAAGTATATTCCCATATATAAAAATATAACTGTAATATTCAGAGTTGCACTGATGAGAACTTAAAGCTTTAACTTCTAATAAACATCTATAATGAGTTTGAAGGCACCCCAGATCTACAGTTCTAAGGGATTGTAATAAACATCCAAACTCCCATGAACTCAGAAAGTCCCTGGAGGCAGGTAAACTGCAATTGCTGAGCAGTAGTACTGCTCACTTCTGAAATGCTATCATAAACTAACCTATAAATATGAATGAACCCATGCAAAAGGTGGCTTTTGTCAAGACTTGGGTAGTTGGGACCAGTGCCAGTGGAGGCTGGGGCAGGACCTTGTCATGCCTGCAAAGCAGCACAGAACTTGCACCCAAGGGGAAAGAGTTGGTGCTGGGGTGCTTGGTCCCTGTTGCCCTACTGTGTGGGTCAACAGTGGGGGAATAGGCTGTGTCCCAGGTGATGTGAGGTTCTTGGTCTGCTTCAGTTTATTCCACTGTGACTGACTGAAGATTACAGTACAAGTCTGTCTTGACATCAGATAGAAAACCCCTTTCTTATGACTCATCCCTCTGTTTACAGGCTTGCCTTTGCTTCCCAAATTAAGATACATGCTTTACACTGACAGGCAGTATGATGGCTTAATTAATCAGATGTCAGAAATAATATGTCATCATGACCTCTGCTTTCGTTGTCTGTACCTTTGACATTAATGCAAACACGTTAGACTACCCGAAACACACGCATCTAGGCCGTTTGTAGAGTACATCTGTTCTATCTTTTTAAAGCTTTGCTTACCTGTGGAGCCTATTTGTTGTATGGTGCTTTTTGCCACTTAGTCACTATGCTTAATCAGATTTGTAAATTAATTCTCTCCTGGGGTTTTTCTTTGTGTGTTCAGAAAGCATAAAAAGTGTTCATGACACGCTTCAAAACACACACTGGTTACATTAGTCATCCTCTCAGCATAATAGTTTTATGGAGAACACTTTAGGTTAAAAAAAAACCAACAAATTTCCTTTAATCCAGTTTCTTTCCCCCACTTTGTTCCCTAGAGTTACATTGCATGTTAGTAAACAGCTACATGACACGCAAAGGCTGTAATTGTCTTGGGTTTTTTTTGCTGGAAGAAAAGAGCTACTGTTTAGTTCTTGAAGTATCTGTTACTACTTTTTATGATATATTCAACTGAAAACATTTTCATACAGGAACTTTGCCTTCTTCTGGCAACTGGAAAGCTGGTTTCAAAAGTGAGTGCTGCTAAATCGCGGCCTGCTTTTGCCTGCTTGCCATTTCCCCAGCTTGGCAGTGCCAGCCCTTTGGCAGGGGTCTGGATGGGAAAGGGTAGCTTTGATGGGAAGCACCAAACTCTCCATTAGTGCTACCTGCATCTTCATGGATGGACCATCCCTCACACCCCCCATGTCCCTTTCTTGTATGGCTGTTGAAAACACCTCCTCGTCAACTAAACACTTTAGTGGCAAACATTCCAATATAGGGAAGGATTTAAACAGGAGAAAATATCTCTAATGTTGGTGAAGGAAAGGTGCTCAGCAAGCACTGCAGTGCCCATGGGCAAGAGGAGGACTGCCATGGCTGTTGGAACACAGCCTGAGAGCTACAGTGAGAACAGGCTGCAGCACATCTCCTTGGGTGTGAGTGGTACTTCCCAGAAGTCACACACAAATGTGGCTGTGGTCTTCTCTTCATGACAGTGGGACCTGGGGAAAATTTCTCCTCATAATACTGCACAGTCACCCCTGAACCCTCTAGGCAGCCTTATCTACCCCCCTCCACCTTGCACGCTCCCCACACACACACATACACCCCCCAGTCTCTCAGGCCCTTTGTGTTTCACAGGAAACAAGTAGATAAACCACAGCTTTCAATTTCCTAATTATGCAAAAAAGTCAAAACTCTTAAACCTTCAGAAGCTCAAAAACACTGAAGTGGTTGGAAGAAAAGGCAAAGAGAAGACCTGAAACCAAATAGGGATTTCACACCACAGATGATGAGGTCTCACAGACATTGGAAAGATGTGTGGTGCTCTCACAGCACATTTACTCCTGGGTGTGTTTGATAGAGGAGGACAGCAGTGTGTGGTAGAGAGAGCCCTATCTTTGAGGAAGGACACAGCAGCAGGGAAACCTTTTGTCTGATGGAGCAATGTGTGATCTTGAAATGAGAAAACATTGCGTTGAGTTGCTGCAGAGCGGAACTTGCTCAGCTCAGCAGGGAGGAACCTGCCTCTAGCATTTGCTCTCCAGCCTGGGGATTTCTAAGACACACTTTTGCCCAGACCACTTCTTTTCTTTAAGCCTCCCTTTTTCCCTGCATCTGTGCCTGCCTCAGAGCTGTAGGATAACAGACACCCTGGGACTTAACTAGGCCTGCACCCGTGCAGCCACATGCAACTCCAGTAAATGCATGTGATGGAGCCCCAGCAGGAAGCTGTTACTGCTCCGCTTCTGAGTGCTGCAATCACTGCCTGTGCCACTGCCTTTGCTGTGGCTGGCAGGACATGTGTTTGTGTTCCTGGGACACCCGGAGAGGCTGAGCTCATTCCGTCAGAGCAGCTGCTCGTTCCCCTTCTCCCTGGTTTCACATATTCGCTCCCAAATCTTCTTCTTGACAATTGGTTCACATGCATGATTTAACCCCTTCCAAATTTTGGGAAATGGGAAAGGCATCCAAAGAAATGCACCTGCAGGGAGGAGTGGGCTGGTGGCAAGTGGAACCAACTGGAGGATCCCTCTCCCCACTGCCGCTAGTAGGCAATGCTGCTGCATCTCATGGTACTGGTCCTTACGGAGTCCATTTTTACCCCAGTTCCTATATCGCAACAGCATGTACATGTCTCTAGCTTCTCTCTTCCTCTTTCCTTGCTCAGACATCTGTATTTTTCCCTTTTCCTTGGGGAGAAGTGGAGTGACGTGGAGGAAGGAGGATTCCCTGATTCTGGCAAGTTCTGGGAACAAGTGCTGAAGTTTCCAGCCAGATGCCAGGAAACCCATCTCACTCACAGGCACAACTCACACTGCAGCAGCTCCTTTGTTCACTGGCACATGGTCAAGGTAGCAGGGAGAGGGGAGGTTCATCAGGCACTGTTGGCCAGGCTTGCAGGCAGTTTTGAATTTTAGGACCAAACCATGAACCGTGGAGGGCTGACTCTAGCAGCAGAGTGCAGGCAGGACTTTCTGCAGCCGGTGCTGCTGCCTTCACATCAAACTGCTCAGGTCCTGGTTTCTGATATGGTTTTAATATGGTTTCCATTTCATACATCAGAAAAAAAGTGCTAAAATACCAGTTTGAAAGGCAGGGCCATTGTGAGGGTATGACTGCATTCCACCTGGGAGGAAGCATCCTTGGCCTGGTAGAGCCGTGCCGTTTGTGAGGTGTCCTTGTTGAGGGCCTGGCCTGTCCCAGCTCTGCCACAGCTTCCCTCTGTGTTCCCACACAGGGAGCAGAGCATGCATGTGGTGTCTCTGTGGCTTTCCAGCCCCTGCTTTACCCGGGAGGATGTTTGTTTCCTGCAAAGGAAAGCACAGTCAGATGTCATTGTAGAGGAGAATAAAACAGATCTTCACAGGGCCAATCTTTTACAAATCTACATGGACAGATTTCGTCAGAGTTTAACTTGGCTCATCAAACCAAACCCCAGTTTTGTCTATCACTGGTGGACAAGCTCAGGGGACTAATGCGGGGACAAGAAGGTGCTCAGTTTGTTCATAATGCGGTGTGTTACGTGAGACAGTTCTAGTCAGAGTGAGCACTGGTTTCCCTGTACTGAAAATGGAGTGCTAAGAGTGACTACACAGAGCTCTGAGAATGGAAAAATATGACATTAATGCGAGGGATACTACACACTCCTGGTGATCTGCTATTGAACAGTGCCACATGGCTTCCCTGCATGATGCTCATCCGGTACATTTGTGGCTCCAATAAAACTTTGTTCCTTCAAAACAGCACATAGACTGAAGTGACACAGGTTGTCCTATATGGTGTGAAGCATTATCTAATGGTAGCCTTAGGTGGATTAAGAAGGTGAGCTTTTCAGGTGGGAAGGGACCTTACCATCCCCTCCTAATGGTGGTCTTGGGGGTGATTTAGAGAATCACACAGCAAAGTATCTCGACTCCTGTTGTCACTTTCAGTGGCTTTGTCAGTATCCATTGTGGAATGGCTAATAGTATCTGTTTCAGCCTGGGATTATCCTGATTTCTTTTAGTTTTCCCTCACAATGTTGCACATAACAAACATTTTTGGCCATGTACATTTTAATTTTTTTTTAATTAAGGTATTTCTCATAAGAAAAAACTGTCTAAATCTGGTTACTGTTTTCCCTTATTGGGAATATTCATTCAGCACTCACCTTTGCCAAAGATGTGGTAGTGCAAGCAGGTGTTACAGCCTTACTTCAGCCGTATGGAAAATACATTTCATTTCTGACAGTGATCCCGCTGGTTCTGTGGAAGGCTACCCCATGCAGAGATAGGCTGGTTAGATCAAACTGTACTAATTGCAGAGTGATTTGGAAATCTGTTCCACTTGCAAACAGAATGAATCCAACACTTTGTAACACTGAATTAACAAAGGTCACATTTCATAAATATTACAGAGCAATTTTCATAGATAATGCTGCAAGCTAGTTAATGATTAGAGCAGTAAAGTCCTGACGTAAAGCCATGATGAATTAGGGACGTATTTTTACAGCTTCTGTTGTTATTGCCTCAGGAGTCTTAACCAAAGGCAGCAGAAATAATTAGAGTCCAACATATCTTTAAGATCTAGCCTAGCAAACTGTATCTGGTCTTCTCAATGGCTGTTGTATTAGAAACTAGAAAATTGAAAAGATTTTAGAGTATCAGTGAGATGCTTGACAGGAAGATAAGCATGTTGGTTTCAATCCAGTTCTACTGGATTCTGCAACAAAAAATCCAGCCTCAATAACTGGTGGGAATTGGCAGAGCTCAGGCTTAACAGGGATGCAATTCTCCCTCTTGCTGCAGCTACTGGAGCTGCTTTATCAGGGCAGAATGTTTTAGTAAAGATCTAGTTCTGCTCCTATGACTGACCCTAAAGACTGGCACTCCTGTGACTGGATTTAGTGTTGTTGCTTTGATAGGAATGTATTCAAGCCACCTGAGCAGTAATCTTGCTGAAGTCTATGGAATTAGCCCTGTAAGGAGGCAATATCGTACATACTGTATGTTAGAAAAAGTGGTGGAATAAATCCTGGGATTATTCAGAGGCATAAAACCAGAAATCTTGGGCCCATGTACAAACAGTGGACTTAAAACGAGAGAACATAATTTTCCAGGATTTAATTAGGCATGTTTTATATCCAATAGCTGCACACCCACAGACAATCCATATTTCTCAGGAGGGTTTTATCTACTGTAGGCCATTTGTGGGGGTTAGAAAATCTTGGTATAAAACTGTGGGACAGCTGTTATCCAACAGTGCTGAAGGGTGGAGGGTTTGGGAATCAGCAAAATTCCAGCAGGCATTTTACATTTCCTTCATCCAGAAGAAGCCCCCAGGGGATGGAAAGTGCCTAGTGTCGTTCTGTAATACATTATGGAGAGAAATGAAATGCAAAGCCCATTGTGCAACATGCAGCAGTGTCCAGACGCTTGGATGAAGAGGTGGAACCAGTTACGTCTGTATTTGGGAAAGCTGTTTGACAAGACGAAACGTGAATTGTCTACGGAGTGATGCCGTTTGGACACTTCAGGTTTTAATTATTAAAACTATATAATAATTAAATAATTATGAATTATATAAATCATATAATTAAATAATTACTTAAATTTTTAGATGCTGATGCTTTGAGGCCATTCAGAACCTAAACCTAAAATACAATTCCTTGAAAATCTAGTCCAATTCAAGTGGAAAACAAAACAAAGCCCCAACATTCATGCAAGCAGCAGCTCAGCTAGACATAAAACAACCCAAGCTGTGAAAACCAGCCCAAAGCAGCATCAACACCAGAGTCAGAAGAAGCCGAGAAGGCTTTTCCCACAGCCGGACACGGGAGACCCCGGCAGGCAGAGGTTCGCAGGGTCACTGTTCCCTGGAGGCCTCACCCCAACCGCAGCAGCACTTTCTCCAGCCCTGCCTCCATCCCAGCTGGAATGGGCTGAGGAGTAACTGGAAGTTTCTTGTCAGAGGAGATGCACAGCACAGCCAGTTCTTCCATTGACAAACGAGCAAAGGAAAACAAAACATCACACTGTCGTTTAAAAATAGCTTCAGTAAAAATACCACAGAGAGTGCTTTCACCCAGTAGAGATTGGCGGCTGATTAGGGAGGGTTATCAGTATACCTGGTGCTGGATAAAACCCGATCCTGCTGCTGGGCATTCGCACTGAATCAGGCAGATTGTGAGTTTGTGATGAATGTCCAAGGAACTGTAGAAGTTTTTGATAACGCAGGAGTTTGAACAAGGGGTTTCTGCTCCTTGCCTGCAATGCGACTTTAGCAAAGCCCCATGTGGGCTGATGCTGCAAAGTGGCATTCTTGGGGCTGGGTGAGACAGAGCAGTTAGGAGGCAGCAGAGCAGGGTTTAGATGTTATTCCTTTCCCATACCCATTCTGTATCCATGCCAAACACAAGTTTGCTTGGTCCACTACCAAAGTAAGGTGAGCAACACTGTGCAAGGGTGATCCCATCCTATAAATTAGAAGTAAAAGTGTTCATAAAGTTCAGCCTAAGTTTGGAGACTTCCATAAGTGATATCTGTGCCTTGCAGCCGTACTTTGAAGTGATAACTGTTGATCACAGGCTTTGCCGTGTGATTTTGGGAAGTTGATCTGTGGAGTGTTCTTGCAGGGTTGCCAGTTTCAATTTTAAAGCAGAGCGTATACGTGCAACAGTTTTCCAATGGTGAAGATCAAATTACGTGACCCATTGCAACTTTTAACATTCCTTCTGGTCTTCAGCCTCTTGATTCTGCTTATACAATGAATTCAGGTGTTAAAATCGATGTGTTTTTCTCACTCTGTTTATTATAAACTACTTAGAGCATCATTTAATTTGTGACTGTTATTTGGATCTGTTTGCATTATTCAAATTATTTCACCCAATAGAGGAATTAATATTCACTAGTGGAAGAAAATGAAGCAGTGTACCAAACCCCACCAATCTGTTGAACATATTTCAAGACAAAAGAAGAAATGGACATTAAGAGAGCAAGAGGAAATCCTGAGCTCTTCTGGGATGGTATAATTTGGTAGCTCAATGCAGTCCCCTCAAGACCTATCTTGACCCACCACTCGTCTAAAGCTTCATAGATGGAGACACTGCTGAAATCCAGAGGCTTGAAGCACTCTCAGTACTGTATTAAAAACAAGCTCATTAGAAGTAAAGCAACTGGACAAGTAGCTTTGCTAGGTCAAGTGTCATTCTCATGACCCTAAGATTAAAGATCTTTCCTGTTTTCATGCACTGTATCCTGTCTGTTTTTTACATGTGACCGCATTAGCAAAGCGTATCACAATGAAAATATCTACCAAACACATAAAAAAAGACAAACCAGCAACACAGTGACCTGCCCCAAAGCAGGAAAGCCCCAGGCTGGGGCTGCCCTTGCAGCAGGCAACTACCCACAACTGAATGTGTCCTCTGATGGTCAGGTCACGTCACATGCAGTGGGCTTGGGAGGGCCTGATCACTGCCTCCATGCTCAGGATCAGAACATGGGATGTGCTGGCTTACCAAAGCTTCACAATGCGGCCACTTCACTGGAGAGCACCCCAAGAGCAGTGCCCGAGGTCAGCATGGTGCTCTCCTGCTCCTGGAGTTCAGCTGCTTACACCCACACTGTGCAGCAAGTAGGGAGACACAGGAGCCCTGTTTTGGGTCTCTTTTGCAGGATACAGGAGTGCACCTCTGCACAGAGTCGTCTTGCACCCCTCCTTTCTCCTCCCTTTGCCCTGGGATCTTGGCCATGCAGTGTTCCCCCTGCTACTGCTCTTCTAGGCTTTCTTCAGAATGCTGCCTTGGGTAATTCTCTAATTTCCCAGGGGAGCTGGAGATTTCCCTTCCTGCACAATGTCCATTCCCTGGTGGGATCCACATGGGTCATCACTGGGTTTCCCGCTGTCCAATCTTGAGGCCAATTTAGTAGAAGGAGGTCATTTGGGACTGTGTTTTCACTAGAGCAATGAGTTACTGTTCTTCAAACTGACGGGACAGCGAGTGACACCTAGGATCTTTCACTCCCAGACCTGTTGCTGCTGCTCCAGACACTGGAAGGGAAACCAGCTGCCCCCAGCTCACTCAGTAAACAATGAACAGCAAAGGTGGGAAACTTAACACTCCTGTGGCACAACCAGTTGCCACATCTCCCCAGCCAGGACCAGTGAGCATTTCACTACTGAGATCCCCTGCAGGAAGGTACTTTATGCATATTGGTCAAAACACCTTTTAGCAGCAGCAGGATACTCACTGCTCCAAGCGAAGGAGGATACATACCAAGCCTTAAGCTACTCCAGGCTTCACAGAGCAGCAGACAGCCAAGTACATGTGGCTGCACTGGAACAATTTGTTTTCAAAGCCCTGTGCGATAGCATGAAGTGGCATAAATCAGAATTACCTGTCACAAGTTGTATGCCTCCATGTCTGTTTCTCCATCATGGCTGAGCAGCAGCTCAGACTCTCTGAGACAGTGGTTGCAGTAGAAGGAAGACAAAGAAGTAGCAATGCAGGAGATGGGGATATGCGAAAAAAGCACTGATGTTTGAAGAAAATATGGAAATAATCCCACTAGAAAGTTGTGCAGAAGTTGTGTTAGGGCAGGACATGAGCTGGGGGCTTCCTGAGAGCCAGAGCTGGCTCCGAGAGCTGCTTTCTTTAGCATCAGTTTCAGAGTTAACATCTGGCTTTTCTACATGAGGAAGCGGAGGACTCTGCCCTGATGTGCACCTTCTGCAGTCCCAGTGTCCAGTCTTCCTTTGAAACAGTCTGCAGAACGTACAGCATCTTTCAGTTAAAGCTCAGCCCATCCCCAGGGAACCTGTGGAGCAGGGCCAGCAACACATCCTCCTGGAAACAGGCAACATGGATGTTGCTAAATATTTCACATTCCTTCGGGACACCAATCCAGACTTGAAGATGCTTGACATGGAGGTTACTCATTGTAAGACATTTGCCTCAGGGAACCTTTCTGACTAGCGACAAGTCAAAACCTCAATCCAGACCTCACCTCGATCCAAGCCATATCCCGACCAGCCTTAACAGCCTAAATGTGGGGAGTCATGACCTGGGAGCTCTGCCAAGTTTTGGAGTCTTAGCCTTTGGCTCAATATCCTAAGCACTGAGCTATTGCCACCTGTGGTATTTTAAGGCTTTTTTACTCCTTTATCTCTGCAGCTCAGGCTTCTGTTGTGGTGCCATCCTTCTCTCTGCCTTGGTTTAATTAAGTCATTGCAAGACACATATCATTGGGATTCTCTTAAAACAGGTAGGTGCTGGTTTCTTTTCACCCTCTAGTTTGAGTGAAGTCAACATGCCTGTTCTTCAGTATATGAGTGGGTTAGCAGTGAAAAGCAGCGTGGCTCAGACTTATCACCACTGAGCAGCTTCTAGGCACTGTTGTGGTAACTAAACAACCCTGCCCACATCCTATGGGTCAAACAAGTATTTCCCGTATATGAGGTCAAGATAGTAAGAGCAGATTTTGTAGAGTCCAGCACCAAAATGTCTTATTAAGAACAAAAGGGGTTGATGAAAAATCAAGACAAAAGTAATTTGTCCATGAACATGAGGGTCAGTGCTGCTAAGGATCAGAGTGCCAGAGCTTGTAGCTGCCCCCTAACCCAAACCCACTGCTCTAGCATTTTGGGGGACAGAGCCTGAGATCAGCATTACTCTTTGAAGGAAGAAGCCCTGTTCTTAGCTGGACTGAAGCATATAGCAGTCAGGATAGCAACTTCATAAAGGTACTTCGTTCTCCCTTCCTGGCTCCTCCCTGACTTGTTCCCAGACTTTCTGGCAGCCTCTAGCATCATTTTCATTCCTCCCTCCTTGGCTGATGCGCTGCTTCTGTGCAGATAACCTCCTGCAAGAGAGGCTTAGGCAGAAAAGAAAAACAAACATGCTAGGTCTGCATTTTAAGAACTACTGAAATAGAATCGCTGGTATCACTTATTTCTTAAGACAAGAAATCATTTGTATCTGTCAAAACCAAAAGAAAACCCTGAAGTGCTGCATTTCCCCTTTCTATCATCACAGTTATTAAAAAGGAGGTGCCATTTGCTGTCTGCTTCTGATGACACTACACCCCAGGTGGTCTTTCACCAGTTCCAGAAGCTGCCCTAGGGTGCTGCTGCGCTTTGCTCATTACTGTTAATGCTGGCATTTTGCAGGGTTATGGGAAGGTGCAGCAACACAAAGTTTTACACATCCAGGTTTCAGAAAGAAACAAGACACTTATCTCCCAAGTCTGCTGGGGAAAGAATGAAAAACAAATTGTTCTGGTGACATCCAGTTGCTGGCTATTAATCCCTTTGAGGATTTTGTATTGCTTCCAAGGCAAATACAAGATTAGCCTTTGGAGTAACAGAGTAGTATGGGATACAGATCTTGGGGTCCTTGTTTGTTTAGCCAATGCAAAGCCAATATCTACTTACAACTGTAATTTTGTGTTTGCATGTTCACTGTGTGGTCTAGCTACCCAGTAGGTCCTTACTATAACCTGAGAAGGCCCTTTGTGGGTCAAGCCCCCAGCAGGAATGGGTGCCCCACTGGGGTAACCACTTGTCAACATACAGAGGCGAGCAGGGCAAAAACCAACCCAGCTGTGAGAAGGCAAGAGGGAAACAGGTCTCAGTCATGTGGAACCTTCTTGGCGACTCCGCCAGCTGCAAGGGCTGCCCATCCCAGCTGTGCCCGTCGATGATGGGGTTTGGAAAG